GTTCACTGGGGTCCCAAAGCCTTAGAATGGCTTTGTAACCCTTTCCAGACTAACACGTCAATTATTTTGTTTCTCATCTGTTCTTGAGTTTCTTTAAATTGCATTGGTTTTTGAGATCTTTTAGTGTGCTTCACTTTCTCAAACAGGTTCTATTTAAGTGATATCTTGATTCAACAGGTCTGGCAGTAATCAGGCCTGGGTGTAGCAAGTGAAATTTAACACAGCATTAAAAAAATGTGGTTATTCATAGTTCATTCATAATTTAGCTAGGGGGCAATTACTTTTAAAAATAGGGCCAGGCAGGTTTGAACAGCTTTTTCCCTTAATAAATGAAATCATCATTTAAAAACTGCATTTTCTACTTACTTGGGTTAGCTTTCTGTGATATTAAAATTTGTTTGATGATCTGAATCATTTAAGTGTGACAAATACGCAATAAAAGTAAAAATCAGGAAGGTGGCAAATACTTTCTCACAGCACTAGATATATGTATATATGGTGTGATAATTTAATTCCCAAGATTGACTGTAAAAAAAATGTCAAACACCTCTGTATTCTTTAAAAGATTGGATAAAATTTAAAGACAATGTTTACTCTGATTTTCTTCTATCAAGAATCGAGGTACCATCTTTGCAGAAATCTTTCTCATTCTAAAATCCTGGTGCACTGTTTCCCTGTTCATGTTCTACTCTTTTGTCAAAGCTTAACTGAACAAGCTGAAGTTAGAAGCTGATTGGCTACCATGCACAGTTGATTTTGCACTTTCCATTATTCAATAAGTTTCAGTCTTTGGTAGCCCCCATAATCCTTACTACTCTATCCAAAACCAAAAGAAAAGGCTTTGGCTTTACATACATTTCAACCCCTAGAAAAGTGAAATAATACTTTACCCAGCAAACACCACATTATAATTTCTTATCTAGGAAAAAGTCACTAAGCTGTTTTTGGATTTTGATAGGATACAACTTTTTTATATTGTTTTAGATGTTAAGACTTTTTTGATTGATGCCAGATTATTTGATAACAGGGCACACTTGCTGCTGACTTCATACTGAAAATACTTGACATTGGTATATGTATTTTTCTTCTAAGTAATGTATTATTTTGGTTTGTTCACAGAAGGTCATTGTGTTTTTTGTGAACAGTATGTGAAATGTAATGCAGAAAGCTCAGATGTCAGCAAGAAATAATAACAAATAACCCCATGCCTTAAAAATATTGTGACTAAAAAGGGTCACAGTGCTCCTTGATAATGTTTCAGCTTTGAATAGTTTGACATTTTACTGCTCTTATCTCACCAAGGACTAGGACAGAAATTGCTTTATGACTGAATAATTTTCTAAGGTGTACACAGACCGTTATCTAATGTAAAAACTCAAACAACTTATGCTGGCTTAGCCAATAGTAACCAATCATATATCCGTTAACTATTGTTAAGAAACATGAATTGTGTTTAGCTGCTATGAACTTACAAACTTGGCAATTTGCAATTTGACTTATTGACTAAGCTTCAAATTTTGAATGGATTATGAATATGAAAGAAATGCAAGATATTGTGCAGAGGAAGTCATGGGGAACAATGTACAAGGACAGCTGTACAGTACATAGGAAATGAGCCTAAACAACAAGCTAAGATATACAAAATATTAGTTTTAATAGAAAAGATCATTTGTAAACAGGTTGACTTAATGGTTTTTGGAACTCCTTAAACATTGGTATGCATTACTGCCCAATAAGACAATATTTAGATGGGCAAATATTATTTGGCCAAGTGGGTCATCTAAGTTGACATGATCATACACAAAGACAAAGTGTAAAGCAGGCCATAGACATGTCGAAAAAGGAAAGTTCCGTTGATCAAAAAATGAAAATAGCTCATACAATTGGACACATTTCGAATTGATACAATTCGATTTTCTAAAAAAAAAAAAATGAAAAACCCAGCATGTTGGATCAGGTACACTAATAAATGCGAAAAGATAATGAATGATTCATTGATTGGCACAAATGTTTTTTTCAATTTTTGACTCCTCTATGGCCTGCTCAAATTGATCATGGAGTTGAGGTTAAAGAAGGAAGAGAGGAGTGGCAGCTTATCATGGAACGCTAGGAGAAGCAGTGAAGGCTGAGTAGAAGTTGAGAAAGGAGGGAAAGTGATAGAGAGAAAAGACAAAAATAACAACAGACAGTGATGATAGAGAGAATGCCTGAGCCTGAGCTGATAAGTGTCAGTGAAAGTGAAGAGAGGAGATGATTGTAGATTGAGATAAGAGGAAGTAGACAATGGGACATAATTCTGGACAAAAAAAAGAAGAGACTGATTATGATCTGATTATGGACAATTCAAGTACAGTATGTTATTCTGTAATTAAAAACTATTGTCCCAGAAAAAAGATACAGCATATACACTCGCCCTCATATCACACTGACATCTCACAGTGCCATGAGAACAATAGCTGTAAGCCAAGAACTTCCAACTGGCCCAAAAGCTTTTAAACTGCCATAGATGGATTGAAATTCAGCAGGGACCAGCCACATTTTAATCCATTTATGGCCATTCCAGCTCTACAGAAGTTGATCTAACAATCAAATTCTATTGAACGGGAATGTTGGAAAACTTTTGTTGATCAGTGTCTGCAGCTGCTGATCATTGTATTCTCACTGTGTATTCCCCCAACCATGTGTGTGGAAGGGGGAATGCGTACATTTTTTTCGATCAGCCTGCTGTCTGAATGAAAAACAAAATAGTCATCTATGGCTAACCTTACTGTTTTAGTCTGTTATCTTATGTTGTGTCTGTGGACTTTCTTAGTCTCCAGCCTTACTAAATTTTTGGATCTTAACCACCCAGGTAAGGAATTGTTTCAGTGGTTCAGTAGACTCAAAGATTAGTATTGTGGGAAACAGCACGGAGGTATGAATATTTTATAGCCCTTGGAAGAAGGAAGGAGACTATATGAACAAAAATGGCTGTCCCTATGTGCATACGCTAAAATAAATCTTGTTGTCTATCTGTCTCAAGCTTCAATATTTCTTATTTATTAACTACTGTAAGTACAACTATGCAGCAATGAAAGTCAAAGTGAAGTAAGAACTACTGATCTGGATACTTGTTTTAGGTGAGTATTGAAGCCACAAGTTCAGAACAACCTGGCAATATACATTTTTTTACCGGAAGGCATGCTTCAAAAGTCTACACATTAACACTTGTAATTAAGTCCCAAAATTTTGATGTTTTCCTGAGATCTGGTGGACAGGCAGCTGATCTCTCACGCATAAGCAATAAATCATTGTGTTTGCTGTGAGTGAGTTTTATTGCTATACAACACCTCAAGCTGTGAAACAGAGGATGTCAGCTGCATAGCAACACATATATTTGCAGATTTATTTGCTTAAAAAATACAAAGTGGTTATTTTGGCACTTTGTTTTGTTAGAAAGCAGCAAGATATATGCTACAATTTCATCTTTAAAAGTGGCATTTTGCAGAATTCCTCTATGGAAGAATTAGACAGGGAGTACGGTATCCATAACTGACAGATGTCTAATTCTGATTTCCCCAGGATATAGCTGGCCATACATGGTTAGATTCTTGTTCAGACATTTATAGAAAAATTGTTCATAAGCTTAGAGTCCACAAAACTTTTTTGCCATCACTAAACCAACTGATTTCCTTAGACCCTACAATTTCATCCAGTGCTGCTATTTGAATGGAATCCCAACCTATTAATCAGATTTTCTTACAATGTGTAAGTTTTTTTTGCATAAGAAAAGCAGAATAGCTTGAATATTTGTTTTTTGTGAGATTTGTTTGTTCATGAAAACATTTTCATCCTGCCTTTTTGAGGTTTCTCATCACTATGGCTGAAAAAAATGTCAATTTGGCCCCACTAACCATTAGAAAATCTAAACAGTCATTTAAAATATGCTAATTTTCAGACAAAATTCTACTGGTGTATGGTCAGCTTAAAGTATACATTCACCTTTTGAACATGTTACATTTTCCACACGTTTTAGGGAGGAACATGTAATATGTTCCCAGAGCCACAGCGGCAGCTATGCCAGTAAAAACCAATGTTCTGTAAATGAGTGCCTACAAGTCCCGGCATCCTTAGCGGCTGTGGGCTTGTAGTTTTTCAATAATTACCATGGCGCTCCACATTGAAGCTTCCTGTCAGTATATCTGCTTGCTGGTAAATCCCGTACAGTAAGTCTGCAGGAGACCTGCATGGCATCAAAGTTCTACTGATCGCCTGGTGCATTGCTTTCCAGACTCCTTTGGCCAAAAATAATAAATGCACATTTTTTTTGGCCAAAAGGTAAACTTATCCTTTAAATTATTACAGTGAACTACCAAGATCTGTCTTGTGGTCTATGTCCAAATCTCTGTCATACTTTTTCAGAAATATGGAGGAGAAAGTTTGTGAAAATAAACATCAAAAATAACTTTAAGTTAAGGCAATAATAACTTAGAACACCTATTCACTAAATGTACATTTTATTTTATTTGAAAATTGCATGTTTAGTTGATTACCATATTTTTCACTACATAACACGCACTTTTTTCCCCCAAAAAAAGGGGGGAAAATGTCAGTGCGTCTTATGGAGCAGCCGGTCTGGTATTTCTGCCACCGTGTCTGAATACCGGGCTGGCCGCTCAGCTCTTTTCTGCAGGAGGACCTTACCTGATCCTTGGTCCAGTGCTGTGCAGTCTTCCCGCGCTGGCATCTCTCAGCCGAGTGCCCACTGCACAAGCGTGAGAAGCGCTGCGCTTTGTGAATGTCCCAGAAGACTCCGGACCTGTCACAAAGCGCAGCGCTTCTCACGCATGCGCAGTGGGCACCCGGCACAGATAAAGGGAGGACAACTCCGCGGAAGTGGGAGCGGGTACCTGTCAAATTCAGGTAACCTGCTCCCTCTCCCTCCCCAAAGGTCCGCATTCTCTGGTCATCCCCTGTACTGTCTGCAGTCTCTGGTCATCCCCTGTACTGTCTGCAGTCTCTGGTCATCCCTTGTAGTGTCTGCAGTCTCTGGTCATCTCCTGTACTATGTCTGCAGTCTCTGGCCATCTCCTGTACTGTGTCTGCAGTCTCTGGTAATCCCCTGTACTATGTCCGCAGTCTCTGGTAATCCCCTGTACTATGTCTGCAGTCTCTGGTCATCCCCTGTACTATGTCCGCAGTCTCTGGTAATCCCCTGTACTATGTCTGCAGTCTCTGGTCATCTCCTGTACTATGTCCGCAGTCTCTGGTCATCTCCTGTACTATGCCTGCAGTCTCTGGTCATCTCCTGTACTATGTCTGCAGTCTCTGGTCATCTCCTGTACTATGTCTGCAGTCTCTGGTAATCCCCTGTACTATGTCTGCAGTCTCTGGTAATCCCCTGTACTATGTCTGCAGTCTCCGGTCATCTCCTGTACTATGTCCGCAGTCTCTGGTAATCCCCTGTACTATGTCTGCTGTATCTGGTCATCTCCTGTACTATGCCTGCAGTCTCTGGTAATCCTCTGTACTGTCTGCAATCTCTGGTCATCTGTACTGTGTCCGCAGTCTCTGGTCATCTGTGCTGTGTTTGCAGTCTCTGGTAATCCCCTGTACTGTGTTTGCAGTCTCTGGTCATCTCCTGTACTCTGTCCGCAGTCTCTGCAGGTCATCTCCTGTACTGTGCCCGCAGTCTCTGGTCATCCCCTGTACTGTGTTCGCAGTCTCTGGTCATCTCCTGTACTATGTCCACAGTCTCTGGTCATCTCCTGTACTAAGTCTGCAGTCTCTGGTCATCTCCTGTACTGTGTTCACAGTCTCTGGTCATCTCCTGTACTATGTCCGCAGTTTCTGGTCATCTTCTGTACTATGTTTGCAGTCCATTGGTTTAGAATATTTTTTTTCCTGTTTTTCTCCTCTAAAGCCTAGGTGCGTCTTATGGTCAGGTGTGTCTTATGAAGCAAAAAATACGGTACATATTTTAACAAATAAACATAACATAATCATTCCAATCGTAATGAACAATAACTTGATTGTATGCAGCAAATTTAATAGACTGGTAAAATAATACATTTTCTGATCCCCTGAGCATCTCAAGGTGTTTTGCCTACACTCAATGGCCCTAAGATCTTTTAAGAAGTTTAGCAAGGCTCTGAAAATAAGTTAACTAACTCTTATAAAGTAACATGACATACATAGTGCTTGAACATGCATTTAAAAACATTCAATATTACAGAAACTTTGTGGGTAGATACCTTTATGTACTTAATGTCACCGTACCACTTTATCACCCCTGTATGCCGTAACACAAACTTAGGATCATATGGTCCCTGGCTTCTGGTTTTGTGGTTTACAATGAGCTGAGCACAGCTTCTCTCTCAGGACTATACTACTACATAGACGCGTCTCATCATATGTCCTATGTATTCCTGAGTTGGACAATAAGCAATGGTTGCAACGTGTACAATGCTCGCACAGTCTGTATTAAATACTGTGATGTTCAGTTGCTGCTGGGGTGTGTACACATCACATGAAGTTAATACAAAGGGGTTGATTTACTAAAGACAAATAGGCTTTTTACTTGGCAAGGGAATTTGCACCTGGAAAAATAATGTTCCCCTAGCTTAGTAAAAGAGGTGAAGCTCTGCTGACTTCCATCATCCAATTATGTGCAAGCAAACACACTATCTTTATATTCATTGCATATGATTGGGTATTCTTTGCAAAGGGAGTTTTCACCACATTTGCTATGCTAAGGGAAAATTCCTTTGCAAAATGGAGATTTCCTTGAAAAGTTAACACCTTACTTGCCTTTAGTAAGCCAACTCCAAAGAGTCTACAGGTATGCACAATATAGGAAAAAGTATGAACAACGTAAGGGGATACAATGTAACGCAATCCTAGTTTATTTATATTGCTCTACAAAATTAAATATTATTTTGTCAGAGTTTAGATTTACTTTAAATAGAGTGCCCATAGTCATTTTGGCCTGCAAGTATGCAAACATAAACCCCCTAAAGTTGAACCAGAAGCAAACTCCAATTTGCATCCTACAATGCAATAGCAAGGCTTTGACATCCTACTGAGAGGCCCTGCAATGAGGTTTGCTAGGGTGGTATAGGTGGTTCAGAAGACTCTGAGGATGCACGGAATTGTGCCAGGCCTTTGCACTCTTTCATTTCCATTGGTTTTCCTTATGTCTGGCTTACTTTAATATTAATATTTTAGCTTTGAGTAAAACAGGTAAAGTGAGTTCTGTTGTATGTGGCAGTGTTTTTTTATTTTGCCTCCTGAGTTCACAGGTAATTAACTGCCATTCGCCACATTTGTCTACTGCACTATTAAATACTGATGGCCTATTAGACTAAAGTTTAAAAGTAGTAATTTGTTTTGCCTGTTTGTGCATTTTAACTTGCCAGAGCAGTTTGTTTGTTTTGACAGCATTGAGTGATAGATCTGTAACCTACCACTGAGATGTCATAATATAGCCTAGCCCCTTCAATTAGCTTGGTTACACAGTGTGTCAAAAATGGTCGCTCTATAATTGGTGCCACTTTGCTGCACATTTGAATGAAAGCTCTCACATGGAGAACATGTTTTCAGCCTTCCCCAGCAGATTTTTATGTTGGATAATGGCATGATTAGAGCAGCAGTCTCTCAGAAAATAAATCTTGTGAGTAAGGATGAAATAAACGGCACACTGAGGTCAGAAATGCTTCAATTCTGCCTGCACTGTGTTTTTGATTGTCCATAGAAATAAATCCAGAAGGGAATTGACATCTGTACTATAAACCTTCACTGCTGTGGTCAAGACTTGTTTGGTTTATTGAGCTCTTTGGGGAATCTAGATCGCAGTACTCTTGCTTATATATGTAATGATTTCTTCCAGAGAAACCTAATGAAGGTGTTTATGTTCCTGAGGATTGTGAAAGGAGCCTTCAAGATCTGATCTAACCCTCTTTTTAACATTTTTCATGAGAGCAATATTGCAATATACATCTTGGTTTAACAGTTCCCAATGGCCGAAATACAGAACATGTGAAAATTACTCAGAGACGTTGATTTCAGAAAATGGTTTATTGTGATTGTGTTTTTTTGAACCGTCGGTTGACAACTATTAAAATAATGAATAATTTTTCCTTTGATGCCTCTTCAGTTGTGATTAATGTCATACACATTAAACTAAAGGTTTTCTTCTCTCCCTTGGCCCCATGTAATGCTACATAATTCAAACATATAGAATGTAATATCTGCAAGATATAAACAATGTTTATAACCTCAAATAAAGAATTCATACAATAAGCAGCTTTAGGTTGTGGACTAACAACGCCACCCAAGATGAGTTGTGTCGCAAAGCACAGGTTGCTTTGCAGCATTCATAATTCATATGTCATTTGGATGTAAGGTTTATTTAAACAAGTAGAAAAAGCTTAATCAAGCCATGTATCTGCTGCTAAAATATTTTTTTATGCACTTTGTATTTGGGGCTAGTTCAATATACAACATTGAAAACTATTGATATATTTAAAAAAAAATTACACAAAAAAAAAAAGAATAGAAAAAGTACAAGAATTTAAACTACAGTATAACGGTAGTCAAAATATTGAAGAACAATCCACAAATTACAGTTTATTTCATGACAGTATATTTTCTATTATTTATAAAGACTTCCCATAACTGCCACTAAATTGTTTAGCATCTTAAAACTACATAAATTTTATACACAATAATCTTTACCAAACAATAGAAAAAGAAAACATGAAAAATACTATAAAATATAAGTGAAGTGCTCAGATATAAACACTAATTGTAAAATTACAGTCTGTATGTCCTAAAAGAGTGAATGTAGGCAAACCAAATCTGATCACTACTCAAAATCACCCGAATTCAACAAAAAAAGGTAAAAGTTCATGAAGGGTTAACACCCCGTATAGTGCAATACACACAAATCAACTATATGGTGTTTGCAAAAGTAAAGCACGCATATTGAAAAGTAAAGGTAGATTCAAGTCCTTCCAAGTAAGGCATACACAGAGTCCTCAGGTGTAAAAAATTACTTCTCCACTTAGTCACCAATATGTGCACAGACCTCCACCTTTGTGCACTCACCAGAGTGCTAGAATACATAGGCATGTATTATAGCTAGTGTTGTGTATCCCACCCCATCTCCTCAGCATTACGGTCTCCGGCCACAAGTCAGTTTCCCTAAATCAAGAGGAAGCTCACACACTGGAGCCCAGATAGAGGTATACAGTGCAGTCTTTTTATTTTTTAAATTAGCAGTAAGAACATTAAAATCAATCCACATGGAAAACAAGCAAAACTGGACTTATAGAGATGACCACCAATCTGAGTTCCGGAACCAGCGGCATGATATCAGCACATAAGGTATCTCCCAACGCATTTTGTGCGCATGCACGTCTTCAGGGGATATGTCTGCTGCTGATGTAAAAAAAGAATAAAGCAACCAAATGCATGTACTCCTGCTCTGGACAGTGGACTCCACAATGTCAAAATCCCCACATGAGTATGAAAGGAATGCAAGCCTTGCAGCCCTCAACGGACCAGGGAAATCCAAAGAGAACTGTATATAAAAAAACTAAAAGAGGGCGCACGAGCCTAGTGCATTACCTTTAAAAATTAGATTTATTATAAATGGTAAAATACTCACAAGAGAAATAAAATCAAATGGAAAGCATGTCACAAAGGATGCAATGTGGTCCAAAACCCCTGGAAGTGGTCTGGTGGGGGACTGCAGACCTCTAGATAGCTGGTGGCTGAAGCGTTTCAAGGTTGTACCTCTTCCTCAGAGCAAGTGTGTGTGCAGCCTGTGTCCTCTCTTAAATGGGCTGGGAACCATGTGATAAATGGTGGAGGGGTCCACCCATAAGGCGGAGACATTAGGAGTGGAGGGGGAGAAAGTGAACGAGGGGGAAGGGAATAAGGAGGAGGGTGGGTCCATACATCAAGTAAATATGAAGGCGACCCTCCATATCACAGATGCAGGAGTGGAAACATACTGAGTGTGGGTGATGTAAAAAGTAATAAATCAGCTAGATGCAAAGGGGCTGATAATAACAATAATATACGTCTGATGTCAGTACCAATCCCCATTAAACAGCCTCCTGACATGCGAAGGAGCGGAAATCATCAGCCCCATTTTTCTGTAGCTGCCAATACCATACATTGGGACTCCAATAACCAATAACAGATATAAAGCTAATCAAAACACATACATAAGGACTCCTAAAACAAAAGAAAAAAAGACAAGTGCCGCTATTCTAAAAACCAAATCTGATCTACATTGTAAAAAAATTAAATAATATAAAGAAACCACTGAGTTATATGAATCCCCAATGGAAAAACTATATAATACAGGCCATATACACAGCCATGGGCGCCATTTTACTGTGGACCAAAAAATTCTAAATAAAAAAAAAATTAAAAAAGAACTCATAAAGGTAATATAAAAAATAGAATGTATTAAAGAAAAGTAGAAATAAAATAATCTATAAAAAAATTAATACCAAATATACGATCCCTCAAGATCCTGCAGGCTATTTAGTTCAAATAAAAATATCCAATACAAATACATTTACATTAAGGTAAGGCAAGAATAAAATATTAAATAACAACTCTCAGCTATTATCAATGAAGCAGTTAATATCTATGTCGATGTTGAGACCTGGAGCCAAAGAACCCATCTCAAAAATCCCCTTGGTCTCCAACCTCAACACCTCCCTTCTTTTATTATATCCCCTCCAATGGGGGCGTATCCTATCAATCCCCACAAATCTAATACCTTTTGGATTTCTACAGTGACAATCCCCAAAAATGTGCAGAAAGGGAATGTTCTTTAAACCCTTTCTTGATATTATAGAGAAGCTCTCTTAGATGATCCCTTAACCTTCTAGTTGTTCTTCCAATATATTTCTTCTTGCAAGGGCATTCCAGGAGATAAATTACATGTTTAGTATAGCAGGTAATAAGAGAATTTATCTGATAGATCCCCACAGGAGTTCCCCCCACTAGGGGCTGTAAGAAAAAATCTATATATTCCCCTGCTCTCGAAGCGTTAGATCCAATGCCAGTAGTAATGGGCCTACCAGGTGGATGAGATTGATTTTAATGGACTTTTGGTAGGCAATGAATGATAGGTTTGCGGGGAGCTGAAGGACACAAGAATTCTTTGTCTTTTATTAGAAATAATCTCTTTCTTGTAACCTTTTTGATACTCCTCTTAAGTTCATTTTGAAATTAAAGCATAGGATCCTGAGAAAGGGTTCTATAAGTCACACTATCTTCAAGGATATTGTAAACCTCCCTGATATAATCAGGGTTATCCCAGATTACCACTCCTCCCCCCTTATCCGCTGGTCTGATGACCAGGCTCTTCCTTTCAAGCAGTCTTCTAATACTGTATTTTATTGAAAGGTTAGTGTGTCACCTTTTTTAGTGCTAGCTGCTATTTCTCACTTTTTTGCCCTTAGCATAAAACATTAAAAATGGCAATCAGCCCAAAGTTCTCATTTAAGGGCCACATTGGTAAGGGAAAATGTATTACCTTCTGTGTGAGTGAAGACCTGGCACTATAGCAATCCATGATATAAAAATGTCCAAACAACCCTCAACACACTTATAAAGTATATATACAAGACAAATGATGCAGAAAATGTCTCTAATACAGTATCATCGCACAGGAGGAGCAAATAAAGAACATAAATACTCCCCAACAGCTGGCAACACTATGCCCCCCTGGGCAGACTAAAACATACAAACTCAAAACCAGCGCTATTAAGACTGTTGTAATGCCCATTCAAAGTCTCTATCAAAGGGAAATATTCCCAGTATACAAATAGAAGATAATGCTTTTTCCTAGGATTTTCACCAGATGCAAGGACTCTTGTTGTATTTGGGTCTAATACTTGTGGTATCAGACTTAATAATACCTGGATCTAATAAAGTTTGTGGAAACCGACTTGATAATGCATCTTGTCTTTGTTTTTTTTGTTTTCTCTGTTTCCTGTATACCTTATGTTCTGCCCTCATCCACGTGACATAAGTAACAAAATAAATACATATAAATATATATATATACACGCTGTATATAGTGTAGTATACTCAAAATAACAATATCCCTACTTCAATTAAAATTGTTCTCATATTAACCACTTGCCGTCCAGCCGCTGTATATAAACGGCCGGATGGTGGCAGTCCAGGGGCGGGTAGCCATTCATAAACGGCCCCGCCATTATGGACTGTGCGCATTTCCTGGGAGCGTGCAGCACCGCGATCCGGTGCCCGCTGTGCCCTCCGGACACAGTGGAACACCGATCGTCGTACGGGACCTCTGTGCGAGGTCCCGATCATGTGATCACTGATTGGCCAATCAGTGATCACATGCAGAGTAGTACAGAAGATGTCACTTCTGACATCATTGCTTACTACGTGGGAAATCTGTGAATGATCACAGAGGTCACATGGTACAAGGCTATTAACAACAGCCTTGTACCATGTGATAAGCTGTGACCAATCACAGCTCACACAGTAGTTCTCAATAGCTGCAAGAATGCAGCCAGAGAGAAGGAGAAATGATTGCTTTTACAGCCTTTATGGATGTAAAAGCAATCAGTGTAAAAAAAAAAAAAAAAATCTTCATCACCACCCACAAGTAGTACAGTGCCCCCATGGTGACACTGTACTGCTAGGGAGACAGTATGTAGAAAAAACCCCCATAAATAAAAATATAAAAAAATCAAATAAAAATGTAAACTTTTTTTTGTTATAAGCTAATTTGGGTTTTTTTTTTTTTTTTTACTAAAAAGATAACTGAATACATTTTGGCCAAGATTTATGATGAAATATTATTTATTTGCAAAATTTTATAAGAAAAACACTTTTTTTCAAAATTTTTGGACTTTTTCATTTATATAGCAAAAAAAAAAAATCCCAATGGTGAATAAATACCACCAAAATAAAGCTGTATCTGTCTCAAACAAAAACAAAAAAAATTCATATGGATACAGTGTTGCATGACCGCGCAATTGTCATTCAAAGTGTGATAGAGCTAAAAGCTGAAAATTGCCCTGGACAGGAAGGGGGTAAAAGTGTCCGGACTGGAAGTGGTTAATATAAATAAAATGCGCCACCAACTCAGTGCTCTTCCATGCACACTGCCAATCCCCATTGTCTATCTACTCTTACCCAAGTAAGTAAATAAAACATTTTTTGTATGTTTTCGTGCAGAATATGTGATTAAGACTATAAAAAGAACAACTTCAATAGACACTGAATGTGTTTCATGTGGACTAGTGGTGAGAAGAACAAAGCCAAACCAAGAAAAAAAGCTCAATAACTAGGGTGAGCAGATTCCACTGAACCCCGAAATGAGCCCGCAAGATCACACTACCTCTATAGCTGACCTTTAATCACTTGCCGACCAGCCACTGTAGAAATACGGTGGCAGGTCGGCACGGCTGGGTAAAAGCACGTTTTAAAACGTGCGTTTGCAAAACAGGTAGAGGGCGCGCACGAGGTGCGCCGCCGCCCTACCTGCACCGCCGATTTCCGGCCGCGGGTGTCAGTCGCCGGGTCATGGCCGGTCATTACCTGCCATGTCCCACCGATTAGCGGCAATCACTGACAGAGAGCAGGGCTGCAGTAGCTCTGCTTTCTGTCAGTCCCCTGTCAGCTCCTGACATGCTGATCCGGAGAGAAGAGTTTATCTCTCCCGATCAGCATGTCCCCGTGCAGTACACACCCCAGCCCCCTAGTAAAACACTCCCCTCACACAGTTAACCCTTTCAGTGAATAAAATATGTAACCCCTTCCTCCCCAGTGCCATTAGTACAGTGTCAGTGTTTTTTTTTGCACTGATCACTGTATTGGTGTCACTAGGGATGTCAGTGACCCCAAGTCAGTTCCCCCCCAGTGTCAGAATGTCTGCTGCTGTCCCACAGTCCTGCCATAAGCCGCTGATCGCTGCCATAAGTCACTGATTGCCACCATAAGTCGCTGATCGCCGCCATTATTAGTATAAAAAAAATTACAAATCCGAGTATCTTTCCCGCCATTTGTAAACGCTATAGCTTTCACGTAAACAAATTAATTTACACGTATTGGGTTTTTGGTTTAGCAAAGACATGTCGCAGAATGCATTTTGGCTGAAATTTATGACGAAATTAGATTTTTACATTTTTTTACTGGACATGTTTTATAGCAAAAAGCCCAAAATATTGTTTTTTTTTTCTCAAAATTGTCAGCCTTTTTTTTTATAGCGCAAAAAATAAAAAATGCTCAGGCGATCAAATACCACCAAAAGAAAGCTCAATTTGTGGGAAAAAAGGACATAAATTTCATTTATGTACCGTATTGCATGACTGCGCAATTGTCCTAGCGCAGCACTGTATGGCAAAAAAATGGCGTAAATTGCAGTATCTATACCATAGTTTGTAGACGCTATAACTTTCACACAAAGCAATCAATATACACTTATTGGGATTTTTTTTACCAAAAACATGTAGCAGAATACATTTTGGCCTAAATCATAACTAACTTTGAGTTTACTATATATTTTTTTATAGCTGAAAGTAAAAAATATAGTTTTTCTTCAAAATTTTTGGTCTTTTTTTGTTTATAGCGTGAAAAATAAAAATACTACCAAAAGAAAGCTCTATTTGTGTGAAAAAAAAGGACGTAAATTTTGTTTGGGTGCAGCATTGCATGACCACACAATTATCAGTTGAATTAGTGCAGCGCCGAGTAGCAAAAAGAGGCCTGGACATTAAGGGGGGTAAATCCTCAGGAGGACAAGTGGTTAACCTAAATAAACCTGATAGAATACTCTAACCCTTAAACCCAAGCATTCACCCTAACATATATCTAAACCTTAACCTAACCATGTCTAAAACTATTAAAGGAAAACTCCATGCAAAAAACAATATTTAGTCATAAATGCAAAAAGTAAATAGCTGTTTACATACCTGTGTCTCTTTTTTTGGATGTCCCAATCTGCTAGAAGAAAAGTTCTATACATGTAGAACCCTGTTGCTGGAATTGAAGTCTGTCTCAGTCTTCTGGAGAGAAACAAAGATGTTTGCCCATGCATAGCCAAGCTGGAGTTCTTCTGTGACCTAAATATACCTCCAACCCTAACTTTCATGCTGGCCATACAAATTTTCTACATTTTAATCAAATGCATCAGACAAACTACTATCAACAAATTATACATTTTTATAGCAGTGATGTTTGCAAGTTGCTTTGTTAATTTGATGTTTGCCCATAGGCATTATTGGCCAAACTGGAGTTCTTCTGTGACCTAACGATACCTCCAAGCCTAACTTTCATGCTAGCCATATATAGGGCAATTTTTCTAGCAAGATGAATGAAATTTTAATCAAATGCATCAGGACAAACTACTATCAACAGGTTATAAATTTTTATAACAGGGATGTTTGCAAGTTGCTTTGTTAATGTGATCATGTCTACATCAAAAGTGAATAGAAATAGAACATGGCCCATGTGTATTACCAGCTTTAAAGTTATTTAATTCCCAAAGCTCATATTAAACAAACTGTAATGTTTGGGATCACAAGACACAGGCTTCTTAAAACAACTTAGGTTGTTATTAAACAAAAAAGGCTTCTGTTCAGGGAGACAAAAGTCCATATCAATGAAAGAAAATTCAAAATGCTTCTTGTCAAGCCTACATAGTCCCATAAGATAAAATAAATATGCTTATTTCAGTCACGAAGATTTCAAAGTAACATAACCCAAATGTCAGAGGCACTACAGGGCCCAAGCAGCAGTGGATCTTCCTGACAGGTTTTTAAAATTCAAACATGTGCAGTACACAGCCACACTACTGTAATTCTCATTGTCTTCCTGCTTCCTTCTGACTTAGCCGTTTCCTACATTAGCAAGTGCTGAATCTCCAAAGAGCCAACCACTTACTGCACAAAGAACCTACCATCCAGGACACATTCTTTTTCACCAGTACACATTCCCCCACCTTAGTCTTACCCCAGAGGAAGTAGAGGCACCATTGGAACTGAAACAATGGACCCTTGGGAAGAGCATTAGCATTTTGATGATGTTTACCAGGTCTATGCTCCATCACAAACCTGAAATCTTGGAGCACCAGGAATCAATGTCAAAGGAGCACAGTTGGAGACAAATTGGATTGTCCTTCCTAAGAGGTAATATCAGAGGGATGCCAAGGCCCATTTACCTATCAAACAGTCACATTCAACTATAGAGTAGTTTTTCCCAGCCATGGTTAATTTTGGCGGAAAAAAACACAGGATGCTCCTTTCCATGGATAATCTGTGAAAGGACAGGTTCCAAGTGGGATGTGTTTATCTGAAGGACAATTCTTTTGAGAAATCTAGAGCTACCAGGACAGAGTGTGGGCATAGTGCCGACCTGAGTTCCATAAAAGCCTTTTCAGCAATCACATCCCACTTGACTTAGGCTTACCTCTGGCTCTTAGTCATATTGGTCAATTTAGCCACCAAAGCAGATGAATTGGGTATAAACAGTCTATAGAAGCCCACTATGCCTAGAATGCATACAGCTGCTTTTTAGTGAGATGGGGACCAGCACTGTGTAGTCTCCACCATGTTAACTGGGGTCTTCACTATCCCTCTTCCCACAACAACCAAAGGTAATTCACTTCCTCCATGCCTACATGGAGTCTAATACTGTTTTAACGTTGGGCAAATGGGATTCTCAGCCCCTACTGAAAATTACAATGTCACCCAGATACACCAAGGTTTATACTTAACATAAACCTTGACACCGGGCTCAGTAATCACACTCAATATTGTCAATAAGTCCTGGTAAATAGGAGAAACTTTAATTGTTTGTTTGCCTCCTTTGGTTTGGGTGTTTGAGTAATGGCTACCTTGTCCATAGGAAACAGATGCTTAAGGCTTGCATTTGCCAGGGCAGTTACCAGTTCACTGTCTTTCCAGAGCTTAAAAAAATGTGGTATGTGGTAGATCTGAAAAGGCTTCCTCTTGCCTGGCTGGTAAACCCTGTAATTTACCTTTCCCATTTCAGCAACAATATCAAATGGACCTTGCCACCTGGCCAGAAGTTCTTTCCTTAGTAGCAATCAGTATTGTCACTTCACCCCCACCTGGAAGAGCCATATATTAACTTATAGACCTGACATTGTGCCTGCTGGACAGTTTGCATATATTCCATGACCAGTTGTATCACAGTGGCGATCCTCTTTTGCATCTGGGAGACATATTCTGAAACACTCTTGTGTGGAGGTGGACCCCCATTCCCATTCTTCCTTCACCAGACCAAGCAACCCACAAAAGTTCATATACCAATGAAAAAAGTTTAAAGCCTTGGGGAGGCCTGAGGCATCTCATGCATGGCAAACAGGAGTGCTGGCAAAAGATGGTCCTTGTCTTTCCCATCTGTTCACACCACCTGCATGGTTTTTAGGGTCATGGTGAAAAATTTGGCCAGGCCATTCATCTGCAGAATGTAGACATGTACAGCTGCTTGATCTAAGGACCACCAATATGTACTGGTAAGTTTGGGC